GTCGTGCCCTTGCCTCCCACGACTAAGAGAGCATATGACTTTATAATCTTTGGAAGTATAAGATTAAACGAGATAACATTTCCGTGCAATGAGAATATCTTTAGAAGTATAAGATAAAGCGAGGTGACCCAAAATGAGAAAAATGGTCTGAAGTTGACGAAATAGGTTATGCATGTGTTGTAAGACCAATTGCATTGGAATTTAACTCTCTTTAGTTTATAGTTTAAGATTTGATCCTATATTATTAGGAAGGGTAAACTGGACACCCAGTTTGGATAAGTGGAGATGCTCAAAACAAAGTTCAACAATCCCATTCGTAGGATAAGTGATGCAGTCAAAATGACCACACTAAATTCTTTGGGGTGATCATATTCGAATAAGAAGAATTCGAATAAGAAGAAGAAACATTAGTGAGAAATTATCATAATTTTTTATTTTTTCTTTCTAACAAATTTTATTTTAAAATTTTTATTTCTAGCAAATCCTAATTTGTGTTTTTAAAGTATATCCCTTTTTTAGAAAAGGAATGTTAACCTTGTTTTTTATGGGAAAATTACTAAAACCCCCTCAGGTTGGATGTTGTCTTTATAATGACCCCTCCTTGAAAAGTCTCTCTTATTCCTTACCCCAAAATACTTTTTTTTTTTCTTGCTGCCAAGGAACTTTTTAACTTTATATATGAAAAAAATTCCCATATCAATTTCATACGAAAGTTAAAATAAATATACATATTTTCTCTGTCCCCATTTTTCTCTCACTAAGCTTACCTTCCATCCATAATCATCACTCTTTTTATCTCTAAAAATATAAATGGGTTTGTTGGTTTCTCCCTCTAAAAGTGTTTAGAGGTATTTTGGTTCTCCTCTTTCTAAACAATATAAATGGATTTGTTGGTTTATCTCTTCTGTCCCATTTTTCTCTCTCCAAGTGGATCCCAAACCATTACATTTCTAAAGAGAGAAACTAAACCATCTATATTTTCCTAAAGAGATATGAATATGAATAGGAATGTACGCCTTGAGAGAAAAAATTGAGATCGAGAGAGAAATATGAATATTTTTTTTGACTTTTGTGAGAGTCATTAAAAATCCTCTGTCATAAATAAAGATGAAAAGTATCCTTTGTCATATTATAAAAGTATGGTTAAAGTATGGTTATTTTTGGTGAATAAAAACAAGCTGAGGTGTACATGAAGAGAGAGAGCTTTTTGTGATTGTCCCTTTTCTTATTCTTTTCTTCTCAGTCGATTATTTCTTTCTCTAGAATGTGACTAAGTTTGCTGGCTGCTAGCCGCTATTGACCACAACTATGTTAGTTGGTATTAGAGCTCAGTCTTTGTGGGATTGTGATGTTGTTTAAAAGGACTTCATGGTTAGTGGACGTGGTTGATGGTTGGGCACCTAGAATTAGACCTTCTAGCAATAACAAGACAACAAAAACATCGAGATTGAAGACTTGAGAAGGCAAGTTGAGGATCTAACCCAGTGCTTGGCATAAAACCAAACCCAAACAAGCGATGATGATGGTAGTAAATCAGAAGTTACCTTCGAGAATACATTCCATGCTCACACTACACATCGAGAGCCTGATGTTTCTGAGAGAAGATTGTGGGATTTTATCATTAAAGTTTATCTACCTAAGTTTGTGGGAGGATTATAGGAAGAAGAATTTGTTAATTGTATAGATGCCAAAGAGCGCATCTTCGAATACAAGGATGTGCCTAATGACAAGAAGGTCAAGTGGCCATTAAGCTCAAGGTCTGTGCATACGTCTAGTGGGAGGGACTAAAAAAGACTCTAAAAAGGCAATGAAAACTGATGATCATTGATTGGGAGAAGATGAAGAAAAGTTAAGGGAATAATTCTTTTGTTTTAAATACACCCAAATGATATTTCTGTACCTTCAAGCCCTTCGATAATAGGGGTGGTGAGTTGACGATTAGACTGAGGAGTTCTATCAATTAGTTTCCAAAAACAACTTTTATGAGACTGAAGAGCAAGTGGTAGCTTGATATGTAGTGGGGCTGCTCCAAACAATCCAAGAAGTCCTAAGCTTACACTCTCTATGGACGTTTTTGGAAGCATATCAACATGCCTTGATAGGGGAAAAATTGCAATCCATGAGTAGGTCTGAATCACCCATGAGTGGAGATTCAAGCCTCCACAAGGGCTAATTTCAGGATTGTTGTACAAGGCCTAAATATGCACCTTCTATGGGCCCAAGAATGCCACTGCAACACTTATTTGTAGCCAAAATAAACTATACAGGGTGCTACAGTTCATCAGCTCAACTCTCAGTTATTTCAAATGCAGAGAGACGGGTCACAAAGATGAGGATTATGGGAAGCCCTGTAGATGTCCCAATAAAGGAAAACAACTCATGTTTGGAGAAGAGAACTTAGAGGTTGCTGATAGGCATGACTCCTATCCAGTTTATGATGAGGAG